ACAACCGCCCTTGTCGTGGTGCTGGGGGGCATGGAGGAGTGTATAAAGAGCAGAAACAACAGGAGGGAGGGGAAAGGCTCTCAGAGAAAAGGAAAAAAGGAACCGTCAAGAGCGTTTTTGACATCCCGCCCCCCCACTGTCCACCAAAAAAAAAAAAAAGACAAAAAAAAAAAAAAAAATCGCAAAAAAAAAAAAAAAAAAAAAAAAAAAAAAAAAAAACAAAAAAAAAAAAAAAAAAAAAAAAAAAAAAAAAAAAAAAAAAAAAAAAAAAAAGGTAAAACCCAACTCACAGCTCCATTAAAAGCCCCCGGCAAAGCAGGATGAAGGTTAATAATCTTCAACTGCTTAGCCTCTAGTGGCTCCAGGAATTTCGGCGATAGCACATGCATGAACCCCAAACACGCGACCAGGTCCGGCGAGTCAGCGAGCACCAGCCGAGCCAGTTCGGCATCGTACTCCTCCCGAGCTGCCTGTATACCTTCCGGCGTCGCAGGATGCTGCTTCTTGTATTTCACAAGGTTGTGGTACTGAGTCGGAATGTCTGCTCGCTTTGCCCGTTCAAGCCCGTATGCGTCCTTGCGGTTGGAAATGACTCGCACGATCTTGGCAGGAAGTTGACCTTCGCTGACCTTATCGATTACCGCCTGTAAATTCGAGCCATTGCCGGAAATGAGGACAGTGAGGCGGATTGGTGCCTCCATCTCGTTTGAGTTCGAGGGGTGTTTATCTTGTTTTAAGGATGCAGTGTTCCAGAGCTGACGGAATGGTTTATTCTTCCACAGCACTAATGAAAAAACTGCTGCACGTAGATTCAACGGATGGGAAGACGAATTGACAAATCAGCAGGCGCAAAATGTCCTCGATTGATCTTGAGGCCAAAGATTCCTACTCCGACCTTTTTCTTTTGCTGATAAGGAGAGCGGGGTTGAAAATGATCGTGGGCTGACTCAGCGGGTATGCGGGGCAGTATCAACGCGCCTTTGTGCCTGAGGCCATATCCTTCTACAGTTGAACTACAAGCCTAAATGCATCTAGAATAAGATGTATACTTGGTATCCGGACTTCTGCAGCGAGGCATCACCACGACCATTGCATCAATACTTGAGAGAAGAGCCCAAAGTGGGAATAATGCAACAATGCTCTGACTGGATGAAATACGAGACAACAAAAGAAATATGTAGTGAGGAGGAATCAAGACTCCCATCATGCCAAGTGACAAAGTCCATTGCCAATCTAAATTCTAGGAAAACACAATAAGAAGTGATCAGAGCCTCGAGAGCCAATCGATAAACAGCGCGATGGGGGTAATCGTGAGAGATATCAAAAAGGGCTAAAAGGATAAATAAGATTTCAAGCAGCCGTCATACTATGAGTCACAAGCCTCATTCCAACTCTGGGATAATTCAGGTGTTCGAGAGAAGTCTAGAGACTTGATGTCCAACGAAGAAAGAAAAGAAAGACGGGTCATTGGCTTTAATTAGCGTACGTATAGATCCGAGTAAGGCAAGCGACACAGGTTTAAGCAGCCGCTGCATGCTGTGTGTCAGGCACCGGTGTGTTGTTCGACGTCTCGGTCACACCCTGACCTCTACAGAGAGGGCAAGAATTCCGACCCGTGGTCAACCACTATGAGACAAATAGTTAGTCTAAGCACTTCCGATAGACAGATGCACACGCAGATGGGCAACGAACCTGATCAATACAATCACGGTGAAAGACGTGCTTGCACTTTGTCAATTGCCTGAGCTCTTCCGCGGCTTCGTAATCACTGAGACAAATCAGGCAACGTTCGCCGTCGGGGATCTGGATCGCGCCAGCGCCATCCAAAGCCTCTGCGACGAGCGATCCAGCATGCTCCACAAGTCGATACAGCCCTCCAGCAAGATGAATGTCCTCCTGGGTGGCAACGGGTGGCTTCACAGGTCCAAGAAGCGACGAAAGTAGAATCATGTCTTCGTAGGTGGGGTTCTACAAGTTGTATTAGCTTTGAATCTTGAGAGATGCCGAGAAAAGAACTTACATCAGTAAAGAGACTGGGCGTTGCAAACGCAGGATGGTTCTCAGAAAGATTGGTTCCCACGACATAAATCAGCCAGCTTCTGCCCGCAGGAGGGGTGGGAGTGTCAGGTTCCACAACACCATTGCGTCGAACGGCGCCAGAGCCTAGCTCACGATGACGAGCATACTCAGAGTCACTGCGCCGCCGTTGATGTGAAGCCTGGAACGGGATCCTGTCTGCAGTGGACTCGGGCGCAGGCTCAACCGACGGCTGCATCAATGGATGCTCATCAACTTGAGGCAAGGGGTTTGAAGGCAATGCTGAGGCAGAGGACAGTCTCCGGTTCGGTGTTGATGCGCCTGAAGATACCGCAGATAAGCCTGGCTCAGCAGGTGTCGATGGAGGCGGATGGGGACCTGGAGGACTTTCCGAGAGAGTCGAAGGAAGTGAAGGGAACGGAACGCGAGTCCCAGCGTCAGAGAATCTTCGCGCGCTTCGAAGGCCCTGGGGCGAGGTTTCATTGTTCGCCGATAAATTGCTAGGGGCAACGAGTTGTTGACGATTAGGTACGAATCGTGACCGATTATCAGCAGGAGGAACTCTGGCACCGTTGTCCTGACCTCGTGGTGGATTCCCCGGCGCCAGGAACGGAAGCCGCAACAATGCGTCCAAGCCCGGTCCGGCATTCGACTGTTGATCGCCAAACGGCCCATTACCTGTAGGAACAGATCGAACGCCTACAACTACCAAAGTGACGGTGCGGCCCTCGTTATCCCCGGCAGGATTGTCAACGTCCATGCCATCGCCATGACTACCAACAGCATCCGGTTCTGTAGTTGACTGGTTTGAAGAAGCCGCAGGACTCGGACTGTCTGAGTTGGCAAATCTGAAAACCCGTAGAAAGTTGACGGGCTGGGGAGGGCCGTTCTCCCCTGAAGCACTTGCTGTGTCACTCGAGGTTGTCTGTGCTGATGTGGCATGCTGTAAACTTTGGATGAAGTTTTCCAGCGATCCGTCTAGGCCGTCATTGCCCAAAGACTGGATGTTGGGCAGTACTGGGCCCGCCGCGCCGGAGAGCTGGGCAGCAATCGCAGCCGCAGCCAATTGCAGAATACGCGAAAGAGGGGTGTGCTCCTCACGCCGAAGAACTCTTGAGGGTCTTGCACGTAAGAGCCCCGGTAATTGACGTGAAGTTGAGGAATTTTGAGTGGATTGTGAAAAAAGTGGCGGCATTGGCAGACTGCCACCCACTGCAGGTTCCACAGAATCAAGTTCATGAGCGTGATTGAAATCCATGCTAGTGTCCATGGCACTCAAAGGTGGTAGACGAATGTCGGGATGGTCACCCAGGCCCTCCCGCACACGTGGGTGTTCTGTGATCTCAGAGTCTGCGCTGGTCGTCGGGTGGCCAAACATTTGCGTAATGGGCGCCGATAACGAATGGCGAACGCGGTTCAGTCGAGCACTGCGACGCCACGATCCTCTGACAGGTTGTGTGGCTTGTTCTGATGATGAGTCCAAGTATGCTGAACTGGTGGACGTATCAGGGATTAAGGATGGATCACTGCGTGGAATAAGATAGGGCACTCTGATCAATCGCCGCCTGGGGATGCCTCTCGAGCTGCTGAAAGGACTGAAGCGACTGCTGCTATGAGCCTCCGATCTTGGGACTGATCTTGCTACAATTCCATGCCTGTGAGCCTGTCCCTCTGCCGGAGTTTCCTCTTCACTATTAAGAAGGCCACGAATGACCGAGTTCGGCAGAATCCTGGAGCCTAATCTAGACATGGTAGACTGACGTCGAGCGGCCATACGTGCAAGTATCGCAGAGCGATACTCCTGCTGATCCGGTTCGTCCCGAGACCCATCTTCTTCGTGTATACTCTCCATCCTTGTCAACTGAGGCTGCTCGGCAGTTGAGGTACTTGTTGGCTGCCACGTCCCCACCTCCGGATTGTCTTGAGTTGAATGAGAAGTATGGAGGATGTCATCATTCGGTTCTGCAGCTGCTGGGAGCGCCGTATTTTCAGCCTGATCAGAGTTCGGCCTGTGATTCATGTCTTCATTGAGATTTAGTTGGTCACGGTCGGCGCGGAGGAAGGTGGGTTGATCTGAGGGAGTAGTGTGGCGTTGATTCCTTTGCGTAGAAGAGGTCTGTCCCATAGTCACGAAGATGTGAGAATGGGAAGTGGCGATGACTGTTTATATACTGTCGATAGCCATGGAAGGACGGATGACTAAAGAGAACCCAACATTAGTCAGATGGCCAACAGCAGCGATATGCAATCGAATGACAAACGCTCGAGCATACGAAAAGGACAAGCTCAAGAAATCACAGATAAAGGCCATGAAGGAAATATAGCGATCGAGAAATAGTCGCCAAAGTCGAGGAAATAGTTTGTGAGTACCTTTGGGAAGCTCTAAGAGAACTGACCTTTAAGCCATACCATACAGCATTTGCAAGCTGAGAAACACGGATCCTTGTAAGAAGGGATTTTGAATGTTTCAAAAAGCGTTGTTGTCACCGGCTAAAGGGGATGTGCCAGAGGAAGGTCTCTTCGACGTGTCAGGATATATCCAGTCCTAGGCTGCAGCCCGCCAGAGGTCGGACAACAAAGGGAGCAACGATCGGAGAGGACAAGGAGCGTATCTAGACAGTAGCAGAACTGAAGAGCGATTGTGGCGGGATTCGAAACTAGGAAGCTGAGCGACGACTCGTTGGTGGGACTTAACAGGGAGTTTCAGCGGGTGAATTGGCGAAGATGACGAACGATCCTCCTGAGTTAAACAAATGAGTGTGAAGGTTGAGAAGTGAATGAAATCAAGTGTAGTGGCAGACAGGCTGGAAAATTCAACCAGACATAGGAGCTGGAATACGTTGGCTAGCAATCAAAGACAGTACAGAGTACGGAGTATTGATGCTAGTACCGTTGAAGTCTGTTGGTGACGATGATGATGGCGGGACGCTGACCATATATAGGAATCAGAGGATGATGAGCAGGCGACCTCTTTAGTCTCGGGACTCTTTAAGCTATGAGCCAGACACTAACTACTCCCGTCCCAGTTTAGTTGGTTCTGACTGTTCAGTGTTTGTGGTTCGTTGTTGATCTCGTTGTCCGTCATCCAACGGTCCAAGTGTCCAACAGCCTGACAGCGCTTGGGCGGTTTCAGCGGGATTCACAATGTGGCGGATCGGTCAAGTCAGCTTGACGGCAGGTGATTCGCCTGTGTCCGATTTAGGCCTTGTGGGGCCTGAGGCTCACCTGTCGGTAGGTACGGATACCTACACCTACCTTAGTGAAGGATTCAAAATACCGCGTCATGAATTTCCAGAACAGGTACCGTACCCCGAATGATGCTGCCCATTTTTAGTGGGCGTTATTATTGCTGAAGGAAAGTATGATACAAACATAATGGTTCTTGGCTATTCTCAGGATCATCTTCGGTGGTTGGCCGCTGGCTACTAGTTTGGGGTTCAGCATTTATCATGGCGTCCGTTCCTTCGGCATCTGCATTCTCTTTGCCTCTTCCATCATGGCAGCAACCCGCCAGCGTGCGGGTAGCTCGCTATGAATCCAGAAAGCGCAAGAAACATTCTGATGACTGGGGCGACGACAACGGAGATGGTGAAGGGGAAACGACGGATGCTGCGTCGGAAATAGCCCCTACTGCTCCGTCGCTAACGCTTTCTCCTGAGGAAGC